AAGCTGCTCTTTTTATATGTAGAGTGTGTCTTGATTCACTGCTGTTTACAACAGTGACTGTTAAACCTAGCAGGAGGTTAAGTGAGGCCAATATTGATGTTGTTGTGTCAAATATGTGATGATTGTTTGACAAATATTAAAAAATTCAGCAGCTTGGTTTTGCTAGTAGTACAATATTCACTGCAAAGGAAGGCGATGCTCCTTGGTTTATGCAGAATCAGTATTTGTTGGCTTTCATTAGATGATTATAGTTTGTTTTGGTTTTTTTACTCTTGCATTTCATTCCTTTGCACCTGTAGAGTCTGAATACGTCTGCAGCCCATCCGCTCAGCCTCTACACACTGCACTGCAGTTCTAAGTACCATTTCTACTTCTCAAATTGTTTATATAATTTATATCTATGTGAAAATGAATATAACTTAGATAGTTTTGAAAGACTTGAATTCTCCCTTAAATGTCTGAGGAGACTTTAATTTATTCAGGCAGTTATGGAACCATCAATAAACTGACTCTATCTGGTATTATTATTATTTATTGATTGACTGTTTCCTGTAAAGAAAACATGAGAATGTAGGCAAAAAGTGAAAAGGTGAAGATCGAACGATTATCTCCCATAGCTGAAAGAAAAACTTGCTGTATTTTGACTAGACCAACCTCCAGACACAAACTAAAACACAGTTGCTTCAACTTGTAATTCAAATAGTTTGATATGAAACGAGCAGATTGATCGGAGCAGCTTTTAGGCCATATAGAGACCGTATTGGCTGCAGCAGTCAATACGGTCTCCAGTATGTCCTATAAATGGATGAAAACACTTTTTCAGGCAAAAAACAGATAAAAAAACATAATAATGAACCTAATATTAAGATTCAAGCCCTTCATGCCAAAAAGTTTTCAATTGTGAAAAGCTAGTTGTGTACTCCTGATTTTCAATCAGCACTGGATCCCTGTGCACTTCAAACCCGGCATCCCCCCTTAGACAAAAACTGGTTTGCACCAAAGATAAGACACCCAGAAACAAGACCGACAATGTGGTTTACGCTGTTCAGTGCAGTGAAGCGTGCACGACCTGAACATTGAAGAGAGCAAGCAACCGCCACACCGACTCAGCTTCCTTCACCTAAAGGCTAAAGGACACTCGTTTGAGGATGACAATGTCCACATTCTGGCCAAGGAAGACAGATGATTTGAGAGAGGGGTTAAGGAAGCCATCTTTGGTAACCTGGAAAAAAGTATATCTCAACAGAGGAGCTGGTCTTAGACATTTCATCTAAAACACTTTTAGGAACAATACTCAGAAGATTCACCTCTCATCTGACTCACACTTTAATGAGACATGTGACCAAAACCACCAAAAAGGAGGGAGTTAACGACCCATCATAATCCCATAACCCTAACCTGACTCCGCCAGATGGATTTACTCCGCATATCCATCTGGAAACCTTCCGTTGATGTAATTTTGGGAAGGGGCAGAAATACTGGTTAGCTGATTGGCCTATGTTGGTGATAGACGGGCCAAATAAACCAATCAGATCAACAAAGCATACGACATACTAACAGAGTTGATGAAGAGGACCCAATTGATAGATCAAACTCTTGCCGAAACCAGTCGGGAGAAGAGCAAAAACATCTTTTCCTCTGAGAAAAGCCTCCAGAGCAGTGTTTTGCTCTTCTTTCAGTGAAGAAATACTCTGTAATTCCGATAAAACTTGCTCGATAGCCA